GGGTTTGAACCGCCAGCCGTCTGGTTAGCAGGCAAGTGCCTTAGCCACTATGCTACCAGAGCTCCCAAAAGAAAGCTAGAGTAGCTATATTAATATCAGAATAAATACACTAAAGAACAAAGAAAACTCGTAAGGATAAAGAGAGATATTACATAATGACAAAGGAATGGATTCGCCAGAAAGATATAACAATCATAAATATGTATACAACAAACAATGGAGCTTTACAATATATGAAGCAAAAACTGACAGAACAGAAAAGAGAAATAAATTTATACACAATTATACTTGGAGACTTCACTACTCTGCTTACCATAATTAATAGAACAGTAAGAATATAAAAAGTTTGAACAACAATATTATCCAAGATCTAACAGCCACATACAGAATACTCCAACAACAGAATATACATTCTTCTCAAGTGCATATGAGACGTACATCAAAATAGACCTTATCATGGACCATAAAGTAAACCTTCAGATTTTTAAAAGAATTGAAATCATGTGTACAGGATGTTCTTTAACCACAGGAATTAAACTTCTAGAAATCAATAACAGAATGATATCTGGAAAATCCCCAAATATTTGGAAATTAAACAACACATTTTAAAATAATCCATGTGTCCAAGAGGAAGAGAAATTAAAAACATTTGAAATGAATGAAAATACAGCATTTCAGAATTTGTTAGATGTAGCTAAAGTTGAGCTTAAAGGGAGATTTATAGCATCAAATACTTATATTAGAAAAGAAGAAAGGTCTCAAATCGGTAACTCAACTTTCCACTAAGAAACTAGAAAGAGAAAATTAAACCCAAAGCATGCAGAAGGAAGGAAACAATAAAAATAAGAGCAAAAATCAATGAAATAGAAAACAGGAAGACAATAGAGAAAATCAGTAAAACTAAGAATCAAGAATCAATAAAATTGATAACTCCTTGACCGACTGATAAAAACATGCTATGAGAGTAGCGACTGGGATCTTAAAAGCTAGCAAGCTGCCATCTAGATGCAACAATGGGTGTCTCCTCGTCAAGAAGAAAGAAGAAAACTAAATGAATGGAAACAATCAGTCCTAGCGACTGGTACACCATCTGATCTGCAACCTATACAACTATGAGACCAGAAGAACTAGATGGTGCCC